GTTTGTGTGACTGAAGAGAAACAATTGAGCGTAATAGGCACATCCCTGTTTGCTGGAGAAGAAATTAAAACTGCAACGTGAGCAAATAGTTTAACAAAATGACAATCAATGAAATATTTTACTGAAAAAAACGTTCACACTGCAATAAGTTTTCCCACCTGGACAAATGAACTATCAACTTCTTTGATTGAAAGCAGCTCCTATAAAAGCAAAGCTTGCTTAAAATAACAGTTAAATACTTTTAACAGAAAATGTCTGCTAAATAATATCAAACTTTCAAATTCTTATATCATTCCATAGGAAATTTGTGAAAAGTTTGTTCTAAAATGCCTGAGGAAAAAGAACCTCATAGCCGGTAAGCTATAAAATGTAAAATGACTTTATCAAAACGAGTATTAAAGGTGGTCCGTTTAGAACCAGTAACTTGCGTGTGGATTCTGTAGATCAGTTGTAACGTAGACCTGTCCCTCTCTATGACTTTTTGAATTGTGTAATTTTGCGAGATAGTAACCTTCTTAGTTACTACCACTACTAGCAAGCCTGTGTATCTGTGATAATTTTCTTCTTTCTCTTTTGAACCAAGTGGAGAGCACTCAGTTAGTGTAATTAATTATTTACCTGTTGTGTGATCACATGCCCTATGATTGGCCTACTTCCATTATGTCAAGGTTTAAGACAATGTTGACAGTCTTGATGGACAAAAAAAATGTTTGATAAAGAAACGGTCATAGAACATATGATCACATGCCTAACGAGCTTAGCCACACCCTAATGCACTGGTTAGCAGTGCCTCTGTGGAATTTAACTTTTGGCCGAATTGAAGTTATTCTTCTGCGGTACAATACTGATGTCACATCTCAGTTTGCACTGAGAGAACTGCTATCAATCCAACAAAAATTTTGAAAATGCTAATCTAATAATCAGAGATTTTCCTGGATTTTAAAGTTTTTCGCTCTATCGAGTGTACAAAAGACAAATCAAAATGAAATTCAAAGCAAGCTCGTTTGAAAATTTAAACAAATTAAGTCTGGTTAGCAAATGCTTCTCTAATTGTTCATTATTCTTCTACTTTCCTTTTCAATGAGTGTCTGAAAGTGTTAAGTATGTTTAGATAAAATAATATCAGTCAGTTTGTAAAGCTTGTGGATACCTAAACTAAGAGGGGCTTACACCTCTATAAAGTTCCATGTACTCATTCCATACTGTGCCATGTCCAAATTAATTCTAAATATTGATAAGAGGCAACTTTCACACTGCTATTAAATACTTAAAAAAAAATATTTACTGACAGAATTAGGAATTGATAAAGATCTTTCTAATACTACACAAGAGCATATCAAAAGAGCAATGTAATAAGTTCAGCTCATAACGCTGCAGAGCAATACCAAGCAAGTTTTTCAACATGTTTCATGTTTCTATAAAACCAACTGGTGAATTGATTCAAAATTTAAAATTTCGTTACCATTGGAAGATTTGCAGATTGTTCCTCTCGTCAATAAATATCTCTCTAGATGTTCTATCTAGGGCAATCTAGACATTTTAGTGTATGTTACTAGATATATCTTTCTACAACTGAGTAACATGTAAGGTGTACTGTATGTGACTAGGCACAAATGTGTGATGTATTGTTTCCACATGACCTTTGCCTAAAGAAATAAAATAGCAAAGCAAAGGAGGTGGTATATACTTTGAACCCCTATTCTATTCCTCAAATTTGTCGCCCTTTTCTGTAGTTTCACATGGCAAGGCACGCAAAATTTGAAAAAGTAGGAGTAGGTACGGACTACATATCTGAACAATGGGAAAAAGTTTAAAAATATTTAATGTACTAGATTAAAATTATCTTACAAGATCAATTCCTTGCATACCATTCATTACATAAAATTCTAATCAACTTGCCATTCAATCTATGAGAACAATAGGCAAACACCTCAGAAATCTGTTAGATTTGATTTAATCACAATTCTTACATAATATTTTACATTCTGAGGCAGTATGCTCATTTGAGGCAGCAGTCACAACAAATTTACAAATATTCAGTCATACATAACATACAGTCAACACACAAATCTCATTCACACAGCACACACATTCATACTTAAGTTCATTTAGCTCAAATGCTTATAGGAAACACTACACATATTTCCTGTTGTCTTGGCACTCACAGAATGATTGATGCAATCAAGGTCCAAAACATACATAACAAATAATACTGAACAGAGGATTTAATTCATGTCAGTATCACTGCATTCTCTAAAACAGTCCTATTTTAAGTTGATACTTTGGACCATCTTAGTCAAAAATTAACAAATCACAAAAAGAACAGTATTTTCCCTACACAACGATGGTATGAAGTTTGTAAATTCCAAATATTGTACTGAGGTTTACATTAAATTAAATAAATAAGCAGTAGCGTGTTGTCTAACATCAAATTCCCAGTCAAGCATAATTCATACCAACTCGGGTCAACATTTCACTCAATTTCATAAAATTTTAGAAAAATAAAATCAATGCAGAACAAAATTATAGTTTCAAGTTGCAGTTGGACAAGGTATGTTTCCTCTTTCTCTGGTTATAAAAAAAATAAATTCTGGAATTGAGAGCAATGATAGGACTAGCACTTAGCATAATAATGCACTTGAGTTCAGCTGACCTATGGTAACTCAGTCAGGAAGAAATTTGAGAGGAGAGCAAAAAATAAATACAGCAGCCTAAATTTGTATGAGCAGACAAGTCAAAAGCCCTAACCTAACCAATGAGAAGCTGTTTAGAAAATGATTGACTTTAAAGTTGTAATTTGAGCCGCCCATAATATAGGTATGTATTTTTAAACTTTGAGCCAAACTGAAATATTTGATAGTCACCACAGCAACAGCTCTCTGAAGGAATCATACAAAATGGCAATTCTACTCTATTAATTTTTCTCTCACAAAATCCAAAATACTACTACATAGTTCATAAAACTTATCTATTAAAAATATTTACAGATTATGCATTTGTTATTGATATTGTTGAGCAGACTTTTCCCTCGCGATATTCAAGAGAGCATTTAACTAGAGTTAACTGTCTTCTTTGCTCAAAGGCCTCTAGTTAAGACTTATACAGAATAAATACAGAGGACGGAAAAAATGATTAGGTACTTTCAAAATCTGTCAAAACAGGCAATTTTTCACAGAGACAAATACGTAACTACCTACAAAAAAGGTTTTATATAAAATGTACTGAAGATGTCAAATCACAGACGGTAGACCAATTTAGACTCTGGTCAAGTTGACAGAAAATGAATAAACAAAAAAAAAAAAAAGCAGGTGCTACAACAAATCAGACAATAGCACCATCTTTCATGAAGTTAGACAATCTGCAGCTTGGCTACAATTTCTTCAACAAGTTAGTAGTTGTAAGGGCCGTACTGAGATCCATGGTAATAAGGACCAGGATAAGCGGCAGGTGGTGCAGGGTATCCTGGGTAGGCATACTGTTGCTTTTGAGGGTACACTGCAAATAGATGGGCAAATTTAGTTTTAAAACAAAGAAAAAAAAGACATTGGGATATGGTAGGAGGACTTCTTATTTTCACACCTTCACATCATGAACATGCATTCTGATTAGTGTTTTGTATGACTTAAAGTATCAATTAATGTAGAAGCTTGGGATATTAAAATGGAAAGATATTCCAAGGAACTATTCATAGATATTAGTTAAACTCATTAATTCAATACGATCCAGAAAAACCTTTAAAGAAAACCAAAAGTAGAGGAAGGAGAATAAAACCAATGTGAACCAATGCTTACCAGGCATGAGATACTGCATGTTCATAGCTTCCTCTTTTTCCCGCTCACCACGCAGACAGATAGCTGCTGCGGAGAACAGGATTGCTGATACCAGAGAGGAGCCGACACCAACCCACGCCAGAATGTATGACCAATCATAAGCAAAGAATGTGTTTTCCCTCAGCACCTGTAGGGCATATGTTCAAAAAAAAAAGAAAGCCGAAACCATGTTAGGGATTAATTTCTGTAAAATCAGTTTAAATTGTGTGTCTTAATTTGACACATGACACCAGTTTGTAAGATCCTATATCAGATTCAAAGAGTCCTTGAAATAAAATAAAGGAGAGGTTGAAGAGAAAGTGGATCATACCCACAATTACAGATTAGCTGCAAGAGAATGATCCGCCAATTGTCGCCAGGACACGCTGAAAGAATAGTACACTCCCTAAAGCCTAGGAAAACTTCATTTACAGATTGAATACACTAGGTAGAGGTACTGCAAGATGACCATTTCATGGGAGCATGCCAGAATCAATAGTTCTTCCTCACCGTTGGCATTAGACTTATTGATAGGAGGAGTTAGGCATCAGGCAAGCACAAGTTATTCATTCATTCCTCCTCTTAACAATCTCAGCTTTATACCTGGCATAATGTACTGCACATTGTTGGCTTTTTCTGAGTCTCGTTCTGAACGAAGGCAGTTAGCAGCAGAGAAGAAAAGTGTGGAGGATATGAGTGAAAATCCCACTCCGATCCAAGCCAAAATGTAGGACCAGTCATACCACATGTGAGTCTCACTTCGAAGAACCTGTCAAGTGACAATTAACACACACACATTTCGTAAGCCTGCGAAAAGTCTTTTTTCTCCATCCTGCTGGAAACTTAGTAAAACTCAACTTCTGCCACAGCCATAAGCTAAAAAGAAAAGTCAGTGGAACAGCCATTACGTTTTCATAAACTGGTAATGAAAAATTCACCCTTTGCATTAAAAAAACATGTACATAGTCACAAATGATAGTTACATTCAAGTTTTTAGCTTTACAGTTACAAAACTAAAGTAACTTACATTGTTCCACTGTTGATAGTACTCTTCCCCTACAACCTTTTCTTTCTCGTAGTATTCCACACCATGCCAGAGACCCATCGCACCGGCACTCAATAGACCTGAAACACAAGGCGACATTGGACATTCAAAGCCAATTGACGATCAGGGCACACCGCAAGAGATGATGAAAACAATTTCTATACGCACAGGCCAGAAGAATGAGAATGGCGGTGGATGTGATGTTGCCCGGAGAGCGCCGCCAGCAGCCAGCGACACCCGTCCAGAAGGCGACGAACACCATCAGGAAGGCGACGATGAACAGGGCAATCATGGAGCGGCCCATGTCTGCAAACACACCAGGAGGACGTCAGCACCAGGACACTCTCTGAAACCAACGGCAGGCACAGCCCGGCACTCACGCAGGCGCGTCATGGCGTCCTCGGACAGCAGCTTGGTCTGGTTGTCCACGTCGGGGATGAAGTAGTCGATGTTGTGGCAGTGCGTCTCCACCGGGCTCAGGTAGGTTTCAACTGCGACAGAAGAAACAAAAAGAAGGGCGGTCAGCGACAGAGCAGGGCTCCCATTTCTAACAGGGAACCCGGATAAACCGAGTGTACCTGCCCACTCGGGTAGTAACCGGGTCGACGGGTGAGAAACCGGTCGAGTCCGGGTTTTTTGAGAGCCGTATGTGGAGAACGACTCACAGAAAAAGTGTCAAACTAGATGCGTTACGCCAGTGTACTGTACGGTGCAGTGCAGTGCAGTGTACGAGCCTGCGCGCGCTGCTGCCCCCTCAGTACTCAGTGTAGTTCGCGGCAGCCGGCAGCGGCACCGGGGCTCCGGGCCGGGCCGGGCATGGAGGGACTTCCCTGACCGGCACCGGCACCGGCGCACTCCACCTACCCAGAACTGGTACGCTACGCTACACCGCACCCGGCGCGCATCCAGAAGAGCGAATGTGCGGAATCATAAAGTCGGCTCGGATTTCAGCGCCCGTCTGTCCCGAGCTCATCATTTCGACACTCGCAAACTAGGCCTCCCGGCGGCGGCGGCGGGCTTGCTGGCAGGCTGGCCTTCCCTGCCGCTGCTGGCTGTGTGGCGCGACACGACGCGACGCGACACGGCGTCGTGCCTCTCTGCCTCTGCCGACACGCGTGCCGCCGTGGGCGCGGGGGGCTCAAACAAAAGGCACGCACGCACTCCAACGTCGCAGCGCTTTGAGACGCTTTTCGAGCGAACAGTCCGGGGGCGTACTTTGTGTCCTGGCGGGCGTCCCGGCGCGGCGCAGCGGCAGCAGGCACAGCCTGTTGCAATAATAATGCTCGACCTTGCGCCACGCCGCGCCACGCCCAGCACATGGCCGCACACGGCGACACACGGTGAACAGAGAGGTGTAAAAAGATCAAAATTTATATTTCAAACGCAAGCAATGATATGGTTTCACGACTCTTAAATGTTGTTCTTTTCTTTTTCAAATTAAAAAATAAATTTTTAAAAGCTGTAGATTTAAAAAACATTGACATTGTTCAAAAGAGCTGAAGGTTTACGGGGAAAATTTTCACGATGTCTTACAAAAATTACAATTTGAGATTGTGAATTCACAAGCACTTTGTATCGACTCATTGGAATTTATGGACAAGCAAGAATGTGCTGTCGCAAATTTACAACGTATTCCGTACATAAAAATTACTACAGATGTTGTAAATTGACGAGGATATTTTTCACAAAGGAAAATGTCCACTCCAATCACATACCGGTTGGTGGCCGCTCCTTGGGGTAGCAGATCCTGAAGAGCCCCTTGGTCCGCGTGTAGTAGAAGTACTTGGTGTTCATGTTCTCCAGGAGGCTCTCCTGACCGCCGCGCTTGGCCGCATATTGCTGCAACAAACGGAGGGGAATTCCGACGTCAGACAAACACATAAACACACTTGACTTAGCACAGACAAAACGAATAAACGACATACACCACTGCAATAGCGGCACACTATATGCAAGTACCGAGGGTGAAAACCTCGTGTACAGCATAAAAGCGACGCAATAAAAATTCAAGGTACGGTATACGATCACCAAAGTACAACCCGAACTGGCAGCGCTACCTGTATTTTGCCTATCTGTGGGGCCGACCGTAAAATGGCTTGCCCGAACTGGGCTGCGTCGGGGCTAGCTAGAGGTCAGCCTAGAGAGGTAGATATCGGCTTAAACATAAACAAGCCTGTGATTTGATAACTTGAAGCCTTTCTAGAGCGTGTTTACGTGAGCAGTTCGTGCCAACGAGGTCGTAAGCGCCGAGCCCGGAGCCCTCCTCGGGGTGTCACTTGAAGGGGCTTGTCACCCACGCGGAAATGGCCATCATCACACTTTTTATTTCGCGATGAAAGTTTAACCTTCTGCGGCATTGCCGGTTGGGCAATAGGGCGTTTTCACTACCTCTCCAGCCTTGTGGAAAATGTTCATTTCCACTTTTAGGCGTTATTCTTTTTACAATAACTGGCAATTATTAATAACTTACGAAAAACGGTGCACGTCACTTCCCCTATGCAGCCAAGCATCCTGGACGGAATATTTTTGTGGCTGAAAGTTGAACGCGCCCGGTCCCCGAGTCAGCCCCCCGACTCCCCCTCCGCTCCTGTGCTGATTACCCAGCTAGAGCCATTACTAGCCATTCCACGCCGGCCGGGGGGTGCCACTGCAGGCTTTGCGCCAGCTTTGCACCAGGCGGGCTGTGTTGCGCAACTAACGGTGCTCTGCGCATGGCTGCTGGCGGGGCGGGGCGGGGTGGGCGTGGGTAGGGCCCTCTCTGGTAGAGCCTCGTGCGCTGGAGGAGCAAAGCAGCAGTGGGTCGGGCCCAAACCGCAGAGAGAACGCTTTAGCTGCAACCCTCTACTATGCCGGCACGTCCAACGAGACCGTTGTGCTGAACAGAGACGGGGCGGCGCCGCCCGCGGGGTGCGGTCTGGACGGGTCGGTGAGGGTCGGCGAGGGTCAGGGCGATTAGCAAACGCCGCGCCCCACAGAGCGCGCGTCCGCACGCAGTGGGAGACCGACCTACATGGAAATGTGTCTTGAAAATTACACTCCAAAGTAAACGTTTTCAGGTATATTTCAGGGGTGCTTATTTCCACGCGGGAACCTAGAGAGCCTCTCGTGAACGGCGACACTCCACCCTCTCCAGATATGGAGTCGTCCCTGCGCTGCTGCGTCCGACTATATACTAGACCTTCACTACTCTGAGAACGGCGTGTCGCTTTGAGGGCGGGGCTACTTTTTATTGTTCGGGTGCGAGGAACGAAAGGCTGCTGTTGGACGACGAACCAGCGCAGCAGCGGTGGCGCCCGCGTCGTCGTCGGAGCAGTAAAACCTCGCACCGTCGTCGTCGCTGTTGCCCATACATTTTGTCGAGCGTGATGGGCGCGAGGACGGGCGGGTCATTGAGGAGACGGGAACGCACCGCGGCGACCCGACCCAGTCCGGCTCGCTGCTCTACTCTGCCCCCGGCCACCCTGGCCGTGCCCTCCTCTCGCTGTCCCCAATAGTAACGGGCCCCCGGCCCAGCGGCCCAGCAGCAGCGCCTCGGCCCAAGCAGCCTAGAGCGCGGCCCCGCTCCGCCAGCAGACGACACTGCTTTTAAAAGTCGGATGCAGTGGGAGTCACTCCGGGACGTGTTTC